GCCGCGTGTCGGTGCGGTGGGTCCAGAGCAAGGTCCCTTCAAGGAAGGGACAAAAGCAGAGGGAGATCTTTGGGAACGGAGCTGGGGCTTTACAGTGGGGGGGGAAAAAAAAAAAAAAAAAAGAAAAAAGAAAAGCCTGGCTCCTGCCTGACTTGAATAAGAACCATTAGCCCTGGCAGCCGCCCAGGAGGACAGGCTGAAGCCTCACCAAGACATCTGGTCCCTATTACACCGTGTTACTTTTTGTTTTGCTCAGCACCGAGGGCCCTCGACATCTTGCTGTGCTGTGGGGAAGGCCACGGGGGTCGGGATGGGGGACAGAAAAGGCACCAGTGGTGCTGGGCCTGGGGGGAGGAGGGACAGTCAGTGCCCCCCGCTCTGCTTAGGGGACAGTCCCCACTCCCCAGAGCGTCCCTGCTCCTCGGAGCATCCCTCCGGACCCACCACAAACAGAGCCACTCGATGCAACTTCTTAGGTGAGAGCCCAAAAGTTGGGGAAACTGAGGCACAAAGGGGTCGTGGCTCTGTCCCCGAGGACAGACTCTACCCAAAACCCTCCCCTGCTCCAGGGCTGTTCTCCAAGAGAGCAGCAGCTCCGTGGAGAGGTGGAACAAATAGTGCAGGGGATGGAAATAGGTGAATTTGCAGGAAAAAAAGGCAAGGGGAAGCCCTGAGTCGGAGCCCCAGTGATGGCTGGTGCCACAGACAGGCAGGACGGGCTCCTCCATCCACCACGTCGGGACGGGGCAGCCTCTGGTCCCCAGCCCCGGGGCTCGGCCAAGCAGAGCAACATCCCACCCCTGGATTTGGAATAAAATAAAAGCCAGGCTGCAGGAAAGGCAGCAGGAGAACAAGAAACTGCCCAGCGCAGGAGAGAAGGGCTCCCCGTGCTCCCTCGCGGCCCCGAAAGGGAGGTGACACCAGCTCCCTGCCCCGAATGTGAATTATTTACACTTTGTGTCATCTGTCCCGGGAAGTCGTTCCGTCTCCCCCGGCTGTGGAGGGGACGGAGACGCAGGGAAACCCACAACCTGCCACCCCCCGACCCGTCCTTTGGTCCTTCCTCCTCCTCCCCAACCGATACAGCCCCACGGGAGGGGGTTACATCCAGTGACTTGCTTATAAATTAACTTTCCCATTAAAAATAAATAAATAAATAAATTATTAGAGTGCTAAAACCTCTCTCCCCTCTGGGAAGGGCTGAGAAGAGCCCCAGCACTTTGGAAAAGGCAGGTTTTGCCACGACAGGCGTCACCTCATGGAGGAAGCCCTGGGGAACCCACCCCACACATACCACAGCGGCGGCTCATCCCCAGGTTACTCACACGGGGACATCCAGCCCTTTGTCCCCTTCCCTCGTCCCTCTCCAGCGGATAATTACCCCCCCTCTGAGCCAGCCAGGACAAACCCTTCCATCCCAGTGACCTGCTTCCACCATGGGAAGCTTCCTCCTCCCCGTGATCACACGGCACTTGGCGCCCCAACGTTCCCACACTCGTTTTTATATATATATATATATATATATTTATGTATATGGAAATGCAGCGTTTCAAGTCGGCGCCCCCAGCCACGGCTGAGCCCTGCCCTGCAGCGGGACTGGGAAGGAGCTGCCTGGATGGGACTGAAAGTGGAAAGAAAAAGCAGGAGCCCACATCCCTCGGACTCCCCAGATCCAACCCTGGACTGTGTGATGACAGACGGGCTGTGATTTAACCCCACGGCACAGACCCGACTCCCATTTGGGTGTCCCAGAGACTCTCCTCTCCACCGAGCAGGGGCTGCAGGAGGAGACAGACCCCCCAGCACCCCCCGACACGGCCCAGAGCGACCGAGTCCCCAAAGGGACCTCAAAACCTCGGTGGCTCCGAAAAGCCAAAGAGCTGGAAACCGGCGTTTCCACCCAGATCTGCACCCGATGACGCCCCCGCGCTGCTCCCCAAAGTCTCACCGCGGGTCAAAGCAGGGGAGAGCCCCTGCTCCTCGGAGCATCCCTCCGGACCCACCACAAACAGAGCCACTCGATGCAACTTCTCAGGTGAGAGCCCAAAATTTGGGGAAACTGAGGCACGAAGGGGCTGTGACTCTGTCCCCAAGGACAGACTCTGCCCAAAACCCTCCCCTGCTCCGGGGCTGTTCTCCGAGAGAGAACCAGCTCCGTGGAGAGGTGGAACAAATAGCGGAGGGGATGGAAATAGGTGAATTTGTAGGAAAAAAAGGCAAGGGGAAGCCCTGAGTTGGAGCCCCAGCGATGGCTGGTGCCACAAACAGGCAGGATGGGCTCCTCCATCCACCGTGTCGGGACGGGGCAGCCTCCGGTCCCCAGCCCCGGGGCTCGGCCAAGCAGAGCAACATCCCACCCCTGGATTTGGAATAAAATAAAAGCCAGGCTGCAGGAAAGGCAGCAGGAGAACAAGAAACTGCCCAGCGCAGGAGAGAAGGGCTCCCCGTGCTCCCTCGCGGCCCCGAAAGGGAGGTGACACCAGCTCCCTGCCCCGAATGTGAATTATTTACACTTTGTGTCATCTGTCCCGGGAAGTCGTTCCGTCTCCCCCGGCTGTGGAGGGGACGGAGACGCAGGGAAACCCACAACCTGCCACCCCCCGACCCGTCCTTCGGTCCTTCCTCCTCCTCCCCAACCGATACAGCCCCACGGGAGGGGGTTACATCCAGTGACTTGCTTATAAATTAACTTTCCCATTAAAAATAAATAAATAAATAAATTATTAGAGTGCTAAAACCTCTCTCCCCTCTGGGAAGGGCTGAGAAGAGCCCCAGCACTTTGGAAAAGGCAGGTTTTGCCACGACAGGCGTCACCTCATGGAGGAAGCCCTGGGGAACCCACCCCACACATACCACAGCGGCAGCTCATCCCCAGGTTACTCACACGGGGACATCCAGCCCTTTGTCCCCTTCCCTCGTCCCTCTCCAGCGGATAATTACCCCCCCTCTGAGCCAGCCAGGACAAACCCTTCCATCCCAGTGACCTGCTTCCACCATGGGAAGCTTCCTCCTCCCCGTGATCACACGGCACTTGGCGCCCCAACGTTCCCACACTCGTTTTTATATATATATATATATATATATTTATGTATATGGAAATGCAGCGTTTCAAGTCGGCGCCCCCAGCCACGGCTGAGCCCTGCCCTGCAGCGGGACTGGGAAGGAGCTGCCTGGATGGGACTGAAAGTGGAAAGAAAAAGCAGGAGCCCACATCCCTCGGACTCCCCAGATCCAACCCTGGACTGCCTGATGACGGACGGGCTGTGATTTAACCCCACGGCACAGACCCGACTCCCATTTGGGTGTCCCAGAGACTCTCCTCTCCACCGAGCAGGGGCTGCAGGAGGAGACAGACCCCCCAGCACCCCCCGACACGGCCCAGAGCGACCGAGTCCCCAAAGGGACCTCAAAACCTCGGTGGCTCCGAAAAGCCAAAGAGCTGGAAACCGGCGTTTCCACCCAGATCTGCACCCGATGACGCCCCCGCGCTGCTCCCCAAAGTCTCACCGCGGGTCAAAGCAGGGGAGAGCAGAGGGAGTGATAAAATATTACTATTTATCGCACCTAAAGTCACTATCAACTGGAAGCACAATTCCCACACTCGTTTTTATATATATATATATATATATATTTATGTATATGGAAATGCAGCGTTTCAAGTCGGCGCCCCCAGCCACGGCTGAGCCCTGCCCTGCAGCGGGACTGGGAAGGAGCTGCCTGGATGGGACTGAAAGTGGAAAGAAAAAGCAGGAGCCCACATCCCTCGGACTCCCCAGATCCAACCCTGGACTGTGTGGGCTCTGCTGCGCCGTGTCCTCCTCCGGGGCCGGCTGGTGGCCATCAGCGGGGGTCCTGCCGTGGTGGGGGGCACCGGCCAGGGGGCTGTCCCCCAGGGGGGGGGTGGCACCGTCCCCCAGGGGGCTGGTGGCCCTGCCACCCCCGGGAGAGCCATCGGCACCGTTGGGGGGCTCCGCTGCCCCCCCGGTGCTGCCGTCCTCCGTCCTCTTCCGCGGCCGCCCCCGTCTCCGTTTCGGCACCGCGGCGGCGTCACCGGTGACCGGCTCCGGGGGACGCTTGGTGGCCTTGGGGCGCTGCGAGTCCTGGGGGCCGGGACCCTCGCCGCCCCCCCCGCTGCGGGGGTTGGTGGGGGTCTCCCCCCCCGGGACCCCCACGCTGGGGGGCAGCAGGACGTTGAGGAGGGGGACGGGGGCCGGTTGGCTCAGCAGCCCCGCCGGCCCGTTAGCCCCCGGGGCCAGCCCCAGGGGCAGGGAGGGGGGGGCTGTGCCCACGGGTAGCGGCAGGGCCACCTTGACCGTGCCCCCCAGGGGGGCGGCCGTGATTTTGGGGGCCAGGACGGGAGGGGAGGAGCGGAGGGGGGCGGCACCGGGCGCCGTGGGTCGCTCCCCCGGGGGGATGCGGGGCAGGGGCAGGGGCAGGCGGGCGACCAGGGCGTTCACCTGAGGGCTACTGGCCACCTTGGGGGGCTCTGGGGGCTTCTTCTTCTCGGGTCGGGGGGGTCCAGGGGGCTTGGGGGCCCCCTCCTTCTTGAGCTGCAGGCAGAGAGCGGTGTCGGGAAGGGGGACGGGGTGGTGGAGCCGGGGTGACACCCCCCCCCAACACCAAGTGGGGGACACGGGGGTCCGGACCCCCCCTCACCCCCTGGCGCTGGTGGGGTCTCACCTGCCCCGGGCTCCTCTCACTCTCGGGGGTGTCCAGCCCGTTCTTCTTCGCCGTTGGTGGGGGCCGACTCTCACGGTGGATCTTCTCCGTGCTCTCTGGGGGTGTGGAGATGATGATGAAGGGGGAACAACCCCCCCCCGGGGGTCCCCAATGGGGCGAGACGGGGCTGGGGGGTCCATCCAAACCCCACCTGAGACCACCATGGCCATGACCAGGTCGGCGCGGGCCGAGCGGGCGCTGATGATGTGCTGCTGGATGAGGAACTGGGCCACCTCCACGATGTTGTTGAAGGAACGCTTGAGGATCTTCTCGGCCCAGTCGCAGGTGAGGGCGCAGGCCGCCTCCATCACCTCGCTGGTGTAGGACTGCACCAGCTCCGTCAGCTCCGACGGCTGCCGGGGGGGACACCCCGTGAGCCCCCCACCACCACCGGAGAGGACACCCCAAATCCAAAAAGGGTGGTCCCATCCTGACACCCCCATCAGGCAGATCCTCCTCCACTCCAGCCCCAGGGACAGAGCAGAACCCGCTCCCAGAGAGGGCATCCCTCCACCTTCGTTAGATCTAACGAGCGAGGAGGTTCGTTACCCCGGGATGGGTGGAACCCAACGTGGTGGGGGCAGCAGAGGACTTACGGTTTCCGTCACTTTGAGGTCCAGGCTGGGCAGGGGGGGAAGGCTCACCATGGTCTTCCTCCGGATCCCGCTGTAGCAGTACGTTTGCAGGGTTAAGGTCTTTCAGCATCACACAGATCCCAGCTCGAAGGCCTGGTGGCCACGGGGCTCACGATAGACTATTCCTTGGGGGGGGTGACAGCATCCACCCCCCAACCTGCCCCAACTCCAACCCCCCCTCGGACCACCAAGCTGAACCTTCAGGAGCCAAAAAACCAAGAACCCTCCCAGAAGCTACAAAAAAACCACCTCGTGTGCGTTTATAAATGGGAAAAACCAGCGAAGCAGCGCGGTGGCCACCAGCCCCAGCAGCTCCCCGGCCACCTGGGCTCCCAGAAGGATATTTGGACTGGCCTCGGCCTCCCAGCCGCCGGGCTTTGATGTTGGGGAAGATCTCCCGGATGATCTTGCCGAAATTGGCGGCGCTGAGGGGGCGGCGGGGGGCACAGGAGCCCCCACTGGCACCCGGGGGGGACCCAGCCTGGCCCGGGCTCTGCTGCGCCGTGTCCTCCTCCGGGGCCGGCTGGTGGCCATCAGCGGGGGTCCTGCCGTGGTGGGGGGCACCGGCCAGGGGGCTGTCCCCCAGGGGGGGGGTGGCACCGTCCCCCAGGGGGCTGGTGGCCCTGCCACCCCCGGGAGAGCCATCGGCACCGTTGGGGGGCTCCGCTGCCCCCCCGGTGCTGCCGTCCTCCGTCCTCTTCCGCGGCCGCCCCCGTCTCCGTTTCGGCACCGCGGCGGCGTCACCGGTGACCGGCTCCGGGGGACGCTTGGTGGCCTTGGGGCGCTGCGAGTCCTGGGGGCCGGGACCCTCGCCGCCCCCCCCGCTGCGGGGGTTGGTGGGGGTCTCCCCCCCCGGGACCCCCACGCTGGGGGGCAGCAGGACGTTGAGGAGGGGGACGGGGGCCGGTTGGCTCAGCAGCCCCGCCGGCCCGTTAGCCCCCGGGGCCAGCCCCAGGGGCAGGGAGGGGGGGGCTGTGCCCACGGGTAGCGGCAGGGCCACCTTGACCGTGCCCCCCAGGGGGGCGGCCGTGATTTTGGGGGCCAGGACGGGAGGGGAGGAGCGGAGGGGGGCGGCACCGGGCGCCGTGGGTCGCTCCCCCGGGGGGATGCGGGGCAGGAGCAGGGGCAGGCGGGCGACCAGGGCGTTCACCTGAGGGCTACTGGCCACCTTGGGGGGCTCTGGGGGCTTCTTCTTCTCGGGTCGGGGGGGTCCAGGGGGCTTGGGGGCCCCCTCCTTCTTGAGCTGCAGGCAGAGAGCGGTGTCGGGAAGGGGGACGGGGTGGTGGAGCCGGGGTGACACCCCCCCCCAACACCAAGTGGGGGACACGGGGGTCCGGACCCCCCCTCACCCCCTGGCGCTGGTGGGGTCTCACCTGCCCCGGGCTCCTCTCACTCTCGGGGGTGTCCAGCCCGTTCTTCTTCGCCGTTGGTGGGGGTCGACTCTCACGGTGGATCTTCTCCGTGCTCTCTGGGGGTGCAGAGATGGTGATGAAGGGGATGCAGAGATGGTGATGAAGGGGATGCAGAGATGGTGATGAAGGGGGAACAACCCCCCCGGGGTCCCCGATGGGGCGAGCAGGGGCCAGGGGCTCCATCCAAACCCCACCTGAGACCACCATGGCCATGACCAGGTCGGCGCGGGCCGAGCGGGCGCTGATGATGTGCTGCTGGATGAGGAACTGGGCCACCTCCACGATGTTGTTGAAGGAACGCTTGAGGATCTTCTCGGCCCAGTCGCAGGTGAGGGCGCAGGCCGCCTCCATCACCTCGCTGGTGTAGGACTGCACCAGCTCCGTCAGCTCCGACGGCTGCCGGGGGGGACACCCCGTGAGCCCCCCACCACCACCGGAGAGGACACCCCAAATCCAAAAAGGGTGGTCCCATCCTGACACCCCCATCAGGCAGATCCTCCTCCAGCCCCGGGGGGAGGCTGATGGGACAGAGCTCCCAGAGAGGGCATCCCTCCACCTTCATTAGATCTAACGAGCAAGGAGGTTCGTTACCCCAGGATGGGTGGAACCCAACGTGGTGGGGGCAGCAGAGGACTTACGGTTTCCGTCACTTTGAGGTCCAGGCTGGGCAGGGGGGGAAGGCTCACCATGGTCTTCCTCCGGATCCCGCTGTAGCAGTACGTTTGCAGGGTTAAGGTCTTTCAGCATCACACAGATCCCAGCTCGAAGGCCTGGTGGCCACGGGGCTCACGATAGACTATTCCTTGGGGGGGGTGACAGCATCCACCCCCCAACCTGCCCCAACTCCAACCCCCCCTCGGACCACCAAGCTGAACCTTCAGGAGCCAAAAAACCAAGAACCCTCCCAGAAGCTACAAAAAAACCACCTCGTGTGCGTTTATAAATGGGAAAAACCAGCGAAGCAGCGCGGTGGCCACCAGCCCCAGCAGCTCCCCGGCCACCTGGGCTCCCAGAAGGATATTTGGACTGGCCTCGGCCTCCCAGCCGCCGGGCTTTGATGTTGGGGAAGATCTCCCGGATGATCTTGCCGAAATTGGCGGCGCTGAGGGGGCGGCAGCAGAGGTTGTCGCAGTATCGCCTGCCGGGGAGAGCCGGGGGTTAACGCCATCCACCCTTCTCGGGGGGCCTAGGAGAAAGCTGGAGAGGGACCCTTTACAAGGGGGGGGGCAGCCACAGGAGGAGGGGGGAGGGTTTGACGCTGAAAAAGGGGAGATTGAGGTGAGATTTGGGGAAGAACTTCTTTGGTGTGAGGGTGGTGAGAGCCTGGCCCAGGTTGCCCCGAGAAGCTGTGGCTGCCCCATCCCTGGAGGGGTTCAAGGGCAGGTTGGAGGGGGCTTGGAGCAACCTGGGCTGGTGGGAGGTGGCCCTGCCCAGGGGACGAGATGATCTTTGAGGTCCCTTCCAACCCAAAACGATGGCTGGGCCATTCCCCAAACCCCCCCAAAGGCTCTCGCTGCCCTCCGGACCGACCTCCCCTCCGGCGGCGCTGGAGAAGCCCGACCCTAGATGATCTTTCAGGTCCTTTCCAACCCAAAACGACGGCTGGGCCATTCCCCAAACCCCCGAGGCTCTCGCTCCCTCTGGACCAACCTCCCCTCCAGCAGTGCTGGAGGAGCCCGACCCCAGGGCAGAGGGTCCCCCAGGCCAGGATGGTCCCCACGCTCACTTGTAGGCATCGTAGACATCCTGCTTGGGCAGGCAGGTGTCCGTGTGCTCCTCCAGGTGGTTCCTGATCCAGTTGCAGGCGTGCATGTACTCGGCCGTGCTCAGCGAGCTCAGGTCCAGGCTGCTGCTGCTCCGGGGAAGCCCCAGACGAACATTTAATTAGCAGGGAAGGAGAAGGCAGAGCCGTGGAGGTCTCCCCAAAGCCTCTCATCATCTGTGTGTCCCCCTCCATCACCCCGACACGGCCCCAGAACCCACCTCTTCTCCCCCAGGCTCGGCCCCGACGGCAGCTGGAGGTAGAGGTAGAGCTTGTCGCTGTCTGAGAACTTCTGGACATCTTGCTACGGTCAAAGGGTCCAACGGGGAGGGGGAGAAGGGACCAGAGACAAAGGAAGGTTAAAATATGGAAGGGCTGCACCCTCGTTAACCCTCGTTAGGGCAGGAACTGCTGGGGCACTGCCAGCAGAGCATCCGTGGAACCGGGAAAGGGAACCGGGCA